AATACCAACTTTTAACTTCTGTGTATGCATAATAACCTGCAGATAAGAAAACTTTAATTCCTTTTCGAGTTCCTACCGTATTAGGAACCTTCTTTTTTTTCCTCGGCTGATGACATCCAACATTCTTTTTATATCCATCTCCCAGAGCAAGGAAAAAAAAAATTTCCCGAATTAACTTTTTAAGCCACACTTTCACACAATTATTTTTATCCACTATCATCGAGACCAAACCTCCTGTATTTCCTTTTCTTTTAAGGACACTTCCCTTTTTTACTCTATTGGCAGAGTTCGCATAATATGTCCCTACTCTCCACCGACGCCTGGGTCGAGATAACAGATCCGCATACAAACAACGTCTTCTATGCCAATCCAGTAAATTTCAATTTGGCGATCTTTCATCCACTAATTGATCAAATTGGTTTTCAATTACCTTGATTTTATTTATTTATTTTATTCCCTTTTTCGATTTTAGCAAACCGGAGAGTGCGCTTGGGAAAAACCGGCAAATATCAAATTGTACGTGTGCACATACAATGCGCCCGTTTGTTTATGTATCATAAGGTTATCGAGTTGCTAATATTGTTTCACCACATCATTCAGACATCAAAGGGATCCAACCGGAGAATGGTGGGAGTTTTATGATGAGGAACATCAACATCCCTATTATTATCATCCCACATCTGGCCAAACAGAGTGGACCGTGCCTAAAACCGGAACCATCATCTCTTTAAAAAAAATTCAGGTAACGGGACCTGCTCTCGTCATTTCTCGTCTTCGACGATGGATCGAAAAATTTCCTTTTTGAGTTGACCGAACGTGTGTGCATCATACCTTAGAATTCCTCAATCGGTAAAAGGATGTCGGTGGCTTTGATACCCTCTGATGGTATGGACATCAATCAGATGCAACTATTGCACACTTCCGCGGAAGCCAAATATGCAAGCACGATGAATCCGGACCGATCTCCTGGAATGTTGAGCTCGATGAGCGCGTTTACGAGATCCATCGAGAATCTAACCATCACTGGATCTCCACCGTCGTTAAATTCGTCGTGTCCTAAACAAGGCATGAATGGAGTGCAGAGAACACGTGACATGGATTCGTCGAATATGAAGAGTGAACAATCAAAGGATTCACTTGCCTCCAAGACGGAAATCGATTACTCATATCAGAAAAATTCGGTCGTTCAAGAGGCGACGAAACCTTTGTCACATAAATCGTCGGAAAACTCCTCGGATGAATATAGCAGTTCCAATCCTTCCGAAGGTACAACGCTATCTATAACCAACACGGCCATATCAGAAAAAACCATTGCATCTCTGGTGCAGCAATTTTTCTTCTTTCACCGATGGTCTCGCCATGTTCTTGCTGATGTTGTCTGACGACTTTTCACTTTTAAAAAATCATCATAGAACGGGGGCGCATCTTTGTCGAAGTCGGGTTCAAAAGCTTCGAGGTCAAGACCGTCCATTAAATCGAGTAACAGCGCAGCCTCTGTGACGGCTTCCGGTCAAAAGACACCTGTCAATGGAAACGATCAGGTGACGCCAACCAGAAAATATTCAAAATCCGTGAATCCTAATAGAGTTTCCGGAATCAGTAGCCCTTCCATAAACTTCGGTAAGTTGATATACACTACACCTCGACGTCCAAACTTCACTCGAGCTATGCACGGAAGGCTCATGCACTATTAAATCATCCATCACATTATAGAAGAGGACACGACGAAATTCACGAACAAGTACACGGACCTTGGACGAAAAAGATCCGGTTATCAGTTGCACACACGAAAGTTGAGTACCGGGTGAGTTCCAAGTGGAAGTTGTGTTGCATCTTTCATCAACGACAACTCCTAATTCCCCTTGCGAAATCCAGTGAGGTCAAGATCATGCCACAAGAATTGCAGCAAGACATAGTGCAATTCAGCATCGATGGATTTGCCAGGAAATATTTTAGTACACACAAGCACGGTATC